AATTTTGCTGCGGCAACTTTTGTCCCGAGTGGCTCTCATACGATGTTACAATCTGAAATGAGGTTACCGGATCGTCTCAGGTTGATCGCACGTAGTGTAGTAGTGGAAGGTTTTGCTAGTAATGTCGCGTACTGACCATGTCAGAAGGAGATTTGAATCTCGACAGAAGTGACTAATACAATGCGGTACAGGGGCTTATATAGGACAAAAGTGGAACACCAAAAGTCCTAGCTAGCACTCTAAGGGGGTACATTCCCCTTAGGGCTAATCTAGATCTGGGAAAAGAACCATGCGCTTCGGTAACTATTTGTGCCACGGTAACTATTTGAACGTTTCCCCTCGCTTTGCACTTCAAATTTTTTTCCTGCTTGCAACCGTCTTCAATAACAGTTTGTGTTGCTCGGTCTTTGCCCTCGCTGCAGTTATCTTCTCGTTAAGAGTTTGTTGCTATAGGAGTGTTAGTAACAATTCCATGTCGTAACAGCAGAAAATGGAGTGCGACGGAGTGGGATTAGAGTGCCCTTGAACTTCCGTAATCGGAATGGTGGTTGACGACGCTCTCAAGAGCTTTTAGTCAAGGCCAGTCGTGTGTTACGGCAAGAGTCTTGAGTAGATAGTGACGCGATTGTTGTTAGAAACTAACGAGAAGGAATGATTGCATTCGGCAGTGCAAGTGCTAACGCTAGATTGGGTTGTATCCTACATGGGCTACCCCACTCAGCCTACACAGTTTGACACACCCCCATAGGCAAATTGGGGGAGAATCAGTGGTCACAAGACCAGTCAAGAAAAGCAAAGCAAGCTCAGGGTGGATCACGACGTCACCACACATTCTGAGCACAAGCAAATGGCCACAAGGCAAGTTCACATGCAGAGTTAAATAAAAGAGAGCAAACCGTACAGTGATCACTATATAGATCACAAAACAAGCAAAGTCACGCAGTGAGCAAGTGAGACGAAATAGGCACAAGGCCTAACATAGAACATAAACGCTAATGATCACCAGGCGGAAGTGCCTTGGTGAATATCTCAGCAGTGTTGGCCCAAGTGGCCACGTAAGCAAGACAAAGCTGACCTCGCTGCTGCAACTCTCGAGCAACGAAGTAACGCAGAGCGATGTGCTTCGTTTTGTGCTCCAGTCTGTGCTCATGACACAAGCCAACAGCGGCCTTTGTCTAGTACAGAACTGGAGGAGAACAAGGCCGCTCTCCCAAGTCGGTGAGCCAGGGTAACTCCTATGCAACCATGGCTCCTGCGTAGATCTCAGCCTCACAACTGGAGCTGAGAACAGAAGACGAGTGGGTAGACCTCCAAGAAACAGAGCCGCAACAAAGGCTGAAAGTGTAGCCCTGTGACGACCACTAGACGTGTCTGAGTGTCCACTGAGGACAACTGGACCCCGTCCTCCAAGCACCAGCCCAATGCCCGATGAACTGCAAAAGTAGCGCAACACCCTCTTAGCAACCTCCCAGTGCTCTTGCTGGTGTCTCCCCGGTGTAACGTAGCGTGCCAGGATGCTAAGAGGGTAGGCAAGGTCAAGTCGAATGCAGGTCATCAGGTACACGAGGCAGCCCTCAAGCTTTGGATACGGGCCACTTGGCTCTACGGACTCGTTCAAAAGGTGGGGCTGAGAGCGAGTGACCAGTAGCCAGAGGAGTGGTTTGTGGCGAGGACCAAGTGAAGTCGAAGCGCTGAAGGACCTGCTGCACCATGTGTGACTGAGTCAGGGTGATAGTGTGCCGTGCTTTGTCCCGGGTGATCTGCAAGCCAAGGTAGCTGTGCACCTCACCCAGGTTTGTGCACGTGTTTCCCTAATGCAGCTCCGACTTCACAAGGGCGAGTGCCTTCGCGTCAGCAGTTGCAAAAACCAAGTCATCGATGAATACGAGGATGTAGAACGGCCGCAGCAAGGTGTCGGTGCAACGAAACAACGGCGGGTCTGCAGTCTAAGGAGCAAACCCAAGTGCCGCAAGTGTCATCCTTAGTGTGTCGTGCCACTCACGAGGCGCCGGGCGGAGACCGTAGACTGGCCGCCGAAGGCTCCACTGGGTACCTGTAGGAAACGACCCAGTGAAGCCAAGTGGGCGTTGCATCTAGATCTCCTCGTGCAGGCTCCCCTGTAAGAAAGCTGTGATGAAGACAAGAGAGTGAAACTCGTAGTCATGCTGAGCGGCAACATGCAGCAGCACCCGAAGGGTGGTCATCTTCGGGGTAGGGGAGAAGGTATGGAATAAGTTAACTCCCTATCGCTCACTAAAGCCTCGTGCCAAGTAACGATCCTTAAAGATAGGCAGAGAACCCGGCGGCCGCTTCACCCTAAAAGTTTACATGCCCTTGACCATGTTCTCCCCAGGAGGGGGAACTGCGTTGTCGTAAGTGCCAGTGGACTTCCATGATGCATGCCATCTCTGCGTCCATGGCTGTCTGCCACTGAGAGGAGTAGGGACCCGAAATTGCCTCTGCGTAAGTGCGCGGAGTTGGGATGTCTGGTGCATCCGAGTCTCCCTCATGGGCAAGCAGCATGGCCACGAGATGAGTTACAGCGGCTGCAAGACACTCAAAGTCCTCTTGCCTGTCCTCAAGGACGTCGGTGCCAAGAGCACACTCACCCCCGACGGACGGAGGACAGACAAACTCAGACTCAGTAACAAGACTAGCGGTGTGGTCGAGACAACAAGCAGCAACAAAGTCAACAAGCTTAGCGACTAAGGCAGATGGAGCAGTGGACTAAAACGAAGGGTCAGTGACAGCAGAGGCTAGGAGACGCGTGAAAGTAGGGCTAGCGGCACGAACTAGGTCAGACTCAGGGTCAGGGACGTGCGGAAGAGAGGATGCAGGAGGAGACGGCAGGGGGACACGCTGTGGAACAAAGGAAGGACGAAGTGTCATAATGTGAGTGTCAAGGATAGGAGGAGGACGCGGACGAGGAACATAAAAGAACAATGGAGGAACATGCAAGGACTGGGCCCTCTGAGGGGTCAGCCAGAGAGACTACAACAGGTGCAGGGAGTGGTGTGACTGTAGTGCCGTCGCGAAAGAAGCAGCGGGAAGCAGCTGAGTCAAGGATGAAGGTGTGCAAGGCCTCAGCAAGCGCAGTACCAGAGAGAGCAGACTCACTAGCACCTAGAGTAGCAGTCGCTATACCAGGGTCAGGGGACACACACAGATAACAGTCACCCTTATTACTACCAGTCAGAGCATACCTGGCAGTAAGGATAGTGTCATAATCTAGAGCAAATATATCCACCTTGTCGCGCAGCAGCTCTGGCCAGGTGGGGAGCTCAGCCTCATTGCAAAACACTCCACGCCAGGTGTCGCTCAGACAGGCGAAGCAGCGAGCCTGTGTGTGACCAAATGTCCCGCAAGTCTGACCTGCCCGATCACCTGTGCGAATGACGTACGGGCAGCGGGCAGTACTCCTAGACTCCCCACACTGAGCGTACCACTCACGAAGCTGCTGGCGCGTAAGGGTCTTGCTCGGACGCCGCTGCAGCTGCATTTGGCCACCGCCAGAAACTCCGCACTGAACAGCTCAACCGCGAGTGCCATGACGGCCGCCGCTAGCACACTACCTCGCGTACCACTCACGAAGCTGCTGGGGCGTAAGAGTCTCGCGCGGATGCCGCTACAGCTGCATCTGGCCACCGCCAGAAACTCCCCACCAAACAGCTCCACAGCGACTGCTAATACGGCCGCCACCACTCCCACTGCTGCCACCACCGCCGTCACCACTCCCAGTGTACTACGAAGTGAAGTCATAGCGGGCAAGCAACGAGGCACGCGACCAGTAGGGCAATACGAAGGGAAGGCAGTAGCACAAGCAGCAGCAGCAATAGCACTAAGAGCAGCGGAGTGGCTCGATGAGGCTAGGCTGCAGCACCTCCAGCACTCCTAGCAGCACCTCCACCAGCAGCAGTAGTAGCGCGAGGAGCAGGGCGGATCAGGTTGGGCAGGGCGGCTTGGGCTGGGCGGTGTGGCTCGGCCTGGGCGGCGTGGGCAGCAGGGCGCACGCTGTGCAGGGCAGCAGGGCGCACGCTGTTCAGGGCAGCAGGGCACGATGCGTGGGCTGCGGCTGGGCGCGACGCGCGGAGCAGCAGAGCGTGACGCACGGGCTGCGGCAGAGCGCGACGCGCGGGGCAGTAGAGCGCGACGCGCGGGCTCCGGTAGGGCGCGACGCGCACAGCAGCAGGGCACGACGCATGGACTGCAGCAGGGTGCGACGCGTGGAGCAGTAGAGTGCGACGCGCGGGCTGTAGCAGGGCGCGACACTCAAGGCAGCAGGGCACGGGCTACAGCAGGACGCAGGGCAGGGCAGGGCGTGCGCAGGGCAGCGCGACGCGGGGCAGGGCAGGGATACCATGCCTGAAACTAACGAGCAAGAATGATTGCATTGCGTAGAATGTAGGTACAAGTGCTAACACTACAGCCTAAAAAGTTTGACAATTGTGTCAGTTTTTGAGGAAACGGGAGTGAGGAAAGTAGAATGAGAATGAATGACTAAGGAATGGAAGTGATACAAATATGCAACCCTAGAAATGTGTACCCCATATAGGCTACCCCACTATGGCCTACACAATATTATAATTTGACACACCCCCATGGGCAAAGTGGGGAAGAACAAGGGGTCACAAGACCAGTCAAGCAAAGCAGACAAAGCTCAGGGTGGATCACAACGTCACCACACAGTCCGAGCACAAGGTCAAGGCCACAAGGTCAGGAGTAGACATATATATATAAGGCTAAACAAGCAAGAGCAGGTATATATATATGTAAGAGTACAAACAAGGTCAAGGGGTGAGCAAGTGAGGCAATACAGGCACAAGACCCAGCTAAGTGCAGAAGCACTGATGATCACAAGGCAGAAGTGCCTTGGTGAAAACATCAGCAGTGTTGGCCTCAGAGGCCACGTACGCAAGTCGCAACTGACCACGCTGCTTCAACTCACGAGCAAGAAATTAGCGGAGAGCAATGTGCTTCGTTCTGTGCTCCAGGCGCTGCTCTCAACACAAGGCTAGCATGGCCTTGTTGTCTACGTACAGAACTGGTGGAGAACGAGGCGGCTCTCCTAGGTCAATCAGCAGGTAGGTGAGCCAGCGTAGCTCCTGTGCAGCCATGGCCACCGCGTAGATCTCAGCCTCACAACTGGAGCTGAGAACAGAAGACGAGCGAGTAGCCCGCCACGAAAAAGAGCCGGAACCAAGACTGAAGGTGTAACCCTGTGACAACCGCTGTGTAGCCTGGTCGTCAGCCCAAGAAGCGTCCGCGTGCCCAGTGAGGACCACTGGACTCCGCCCTCCAAGCACTAGCCTCATGCCCCACGTACTGCACAAGTAGCGCAACACCCTCTTCGCTGCAGCCATGTGCTCTGGTCGGTGTCTCCCAGGAGCAACATAGCGTGCAAGAATGCTAAGAGGGTATGCAAGGTCAGGTCGTGTGCAGGTCATCAGGTACATGAGGCAGCCAACAAGCTCTGGGTACGGGCCACTCGACTCTACGGACTCATCCAAAGGCAGAGCTCAGAGCGAGTGGCGAGTAGAGACAGGAGTGGCCTGAGGCGAGGAGTACGTGAAGCCAAAGCGCTGAAGGACCTGCTGCACCATGTGTGACTGAGTCAAGGTAATGGTGCGGCGTGCTCTGTCCCGGGTGATCTGCAAGCAAAGGTAGCTGCGCAGTTCACCCAGGTCTGCACGTGTGTCTCTTCTGCAGCTCGAACTTCACGTGGGCGAGTCCAGTAGTGTCAGCTGTGGCAAAGACCAAGTCGTCGACGTACACGAGGATGTAGAACGGCGGCAGAGAGGTGTCGGTGCGCAGAAACAACAACGGGTCAGCAGTAGAATGTGCAAACCCAAGAGCCGCAAGGGTAGTCCTCAGTGTGTCGTGCCACTCGCGCGGTGCCTGGCGGAGACCGTAGACTGGCCGTCGGAGGCTCCACTGGGTGCCGGGAGGGAAAGTCCCAGTGAAGCCTGGTGGACGGCGCAGCCAGATCTCCTCGTGCAAGCTACCCTGCAGGAAAGCAGTGCTTAAGTCAAGGGAGTGAAGCTCATAGTCACGCTGCGCGGCTATGTGTAGTAGCACCCGAAGAGTGGTCATCTTCGGGGTGGGAGAGAAGGTCTGAAAGTAGTCAACTCCCTGCCGCTGACTGAAGCCACGAGCCACGTACCGCGCCTTGAAGACAGGTGGAGAGCCCGGCGGCCGCTTCACCCTGAAGATCCACATGCCACTGACGATGTTCGCCCCAGGAGGAGGAACTGCGTCACTGTAGGTGCCTGTGGACTTCCAGGAAGCCATCTCTGCATCCATAGCTGCCTGCCACTGAGAGGAGTAAGGACCCTCTACGACCTCCGCGTAAGAGCGCGGAGTCGGGATGTCTAGTGCATCCGGGTCTCCCTCAGGGGTAAGCAGTACGGACGGGAGATGAGGTGAAGCAACAGCCAGACACTGGAACTCCTCCTGCCTGTCCTCAAGGACGTCCGTGCCAAGAGCACACTCACCCCCGACGGACGGAGGACAGACAGACACAGACTAAGCAACAAGACTAGCAGCGTAGTCTAGACGACAGCGAGCAGCAAAGTCGACGAGCTTAGCAACAAGAGCAGACGCAGTAGTGGACTCAAAAGAGGGGTCACTGAAGACAGTAGGAAGGAGACGCGTGACGGTAGGACTGGCTGCACGAAGAGAGTCCGACTCCGGATCGGCAAGCGCAGGAAGAGAGAACTCACGAGGAGAAGGCAAAGGGACACGCAGAGGAGCAGTGGACGGACGCAGAGAAATCCGGTGCGTGCCAAGGACAAAAGAAGGACGCTGACGCGAACCGCGACCACTACCGCGAGCAGCACGAACAGGCGACGCGGGACGAGTCGCAGGCTCACGACGCTCAGCAAGACCTCCAGTAGGACCAGTGTAAGGAGAGGGAGCAGGCAGTGGGGAGGCGGGCGATAACTATGACTATGACTGGACAGGCGGTGGACACTCTACAGGAGGAGAAGGACCAAGAACCTGCTGAAGGAGCGGAACGAAGTACGGCCGAGGCCGCGCGGCGACTCCAGACACAGCAGGGACAGCACCAGCATCCTCACCGGCAGCACCAGCGCCAACAGCACCTCCAGCTGCAGGACCTCCACCAGTACCAGCAACACCCGCAGTAGGACCACCGCCAGGACTGACAGCAGTAGCCTTAGCGCCAACACCCTCAGGAGCTCCAGCGCTAGTGGTACCCGCAGGCCCAGCACCTCCAGCACTCCCAAAACGAGCACCTCCGGGACCGGCGGCACCAGCACCCTCAGCGGCCGAAGAAGCTCCAGCTCCAGCAGTACGCCTCTTGCGCCGGGCAAACCACTCTCGCAGCTCCTGTGGAGAGAGTGGCTCCCGCCGAGACGAAGCACCCGGAGAACCTCCACGCCCAGCACCGCCAGACGCCACACGAGCAGGTCCAGCGGCCGCTGGCTCCGCACCACCAGGCTCAATAGATCCAGACGCAGCACCCCCAGGCTCAGCAGCTCCTGACGTAGCACCCCCAGGCTCAGCAACCCCAGTCGTAGCACCCCCGGGCTCAGCACCCCCAGTCGCAGTACCCCTAGGCTCAGCACCCCCAGTCGTAGCACCCCCAGGCTCAGCACCCCCAGTCGCAGCACCCCGAGACTCAGCACCCCAAGGCTCAACACCCACGCGCGCAGCACCCCCAGAGACAGCACCCCCAGGCTCAGCACCCGCAGCAGTACCAGAGTCACTAGCAACCTCGACCGGCTCGACTCCATCTACCTGGGACACACCTGAAGGGGCAGGACCCTGAGGGGGGAGGGGGTCTATCGGGGGGGGACCTTGCACAAGGAAGAGCGGTGGCGGGGGGAGGGAAGGAGTGCGGTAGGGGAAGAGGCGGTAGTAGGGGACTGACTCGTCGAACGTGACGTCCTGGGAGGACAGAACACGACGAGAGGTGGGGTGGTAGAACAGCCACCCTGGGGCGTCAGGGGGGAAGCCAAGGAAGACATAGGGAGCAGCACGAGGGGACAGCTTGTCCGCAGACAAGTCGCGGACAAACGCCCGAGATCCCCAGACACGGAACGCAGACGCATCGCCGACCTTCCCCGTCCACAGCAAGGCTGGGGAGGTCTCTGGCCTGGAGACCCTGGGGTGAAGGTTGATCTAATGCGCCGCGTACCGAACCGCAAACGGCCACAGAAAATGGGGGGCAGCCGCATGCATCATGAACGTACGAGCGACGTCCATGACCATGCCAATGCGGCGCTCAGCAATCCCATTTTGCTGTGGAGAGTCCGGAAGCGTAAAGGTCTCGCGGATGCCTCGCGCACGACAGTAGGCTCGTAGAAGGCCAGAGGAGAACTCTCCGCCTCGGTCAGAGTGCAGACGCAGAACAGGAAAGTCCGAGCCGAAGCTCCTCCTGAGCTGGAGACGAGCTGCGCGGATCCAGTCGATCAGCACCTCAGTGACATCACCCTTGCTGCGCAAGGGGAAGACTGAGGTGTAACGCGAGTAGTCGTCAACCACCAGCAGGAAGTAGCGCTCGTGACCCTGTCCACGGACGCGGGCCGGGCCCCACACGTCCATGTGAAGCGTCTGCAGCGGGGCCTCTATCAGGGGAAACTGAGAGGAGTGAGGGGCAGCCCAGAGCTGCCCCTCGACACAGGGAACACAGGAAGGACCAGGCCCTGGAGGAAGGGGAGGGAGGGACCGGGGGAGACCAGAGACAAGGACACGGGAGGCAATGCCTCGGAGACGAGGCAGGGAGGGGTGACCAAGACGGTGGTGCCACAGGAGAGTCTCGTGAGACAGGAGGCGACACGAGCAGGGGGCAGACTCAGGACCAGACCTGGACGCTGCAGCAAACACCTGACCCGACGCAGCTACCTGACCAGACACAGGGACAGGAGGAGACCCAGTGGTCAGGGTGTAGAGGCTCGACCCCGGCCGACGCGTAAACGTGGCTAGGTGCCGGCCTGTGCGAGCGTCCAAGCAGTGGGTCACCCGCTGACTCGCAGGAGTAAACTGGTGAACCCTTGTATCCTGCAAGTCAGCACCACTCACCAAGTTCGTAGAGAACGAGGGGAGGTAAAGACCAGACAAGATGCCAGAGGGGGCAGCCGGACACGGGAGGACAGTGGAGAAGTGAGAGAAGACAGGACCCCCAGAGGGGTCTGCCAGGGAGACTCCAACCGGCCGACCAAGCGGCGTGAGTGTGGTGCGGTCTTGAAAGAAGGAGCGAGAAGCCCACAAGTCAAGTGTGAAGGTGAGGGAGGCCGAAGCCGACGCGGTACCTGAGAGCGCAGCCTCACCAGTACCTGAGGGCGCAGACGCGCTGGCACCTAGAGCAGCAGCCTCACTAGCACCTAGCGAAGCAGTACCAATGCCCGGGTCGGGCGGGAAACACCGGTAACAGTCACCCTCATCACTAATAGTCACAGCATACATGGCAGCAAGGATAGCATCAAAGTCAAGATCATGGATAGCGACACCTGCCCTAGACAGCTCTCCCCAGCGGGGGATCTCACTAGCCTCCGGGAACTGCTGACGCCAAGCGTCCGTCAGGCGGCCAAAGCAGCGCTGGGTGGGGTGGGGACCCCCACATTGCTCACCCGCGCGGTCGCCGGAGCGAAGGACGTAGGTGCACGGGCCAAAACCCCCACCACGCTGACGCTGCGTGTACCACTCACGGAGCTGCTAAGGAGGGGGGATGTCCCGAGAAGGCTACTGCTTCTGCTGGCGCTGACCACTACTGGAGCCGCTCTGCTGCGAAGCACCACCCCGACCAGCTCCACCTCCTCCACCACCGCCGCCTCCACCTCCGCCACCACCACCGCCTCCGCTCCCACCGCTACCGCCTCCGCCGCCTCCGCCTCCGCTGCTGCCACCGACACCTCCACCCCCGCCACCACTCCCACTGCCACCCCCACTCCCTCCGCCGCCTCCACCGCCACCTCCACCACCCCTGCTAGATCCACCCGCGCCCTTGCCCCCCTTGCCCTTGCTAGAGCGGCGTCTCCCGCTAGGGGCAGACGCCGCACCGACCAACTCAAGACCAACGAGGTCGGCCGCAGCAGCAGAGGCGACAGAGGGCAACAGGGGGGAAGGGGAACACCCCTCAAAGATGGGGGTGCAAGGGTCACCACGAGAGGCTCCTACAGCGACTATGCTCTTCTCCGCTGCTAGGAGGGCCTTCTCTAAGAGGTCAACAGTGAGAGTGGTGGGACAGACTGAGAGGAAGTGGTCCCTGACTACGCGAAGGGAGTCAGGGAGGCAGGTGACTATATATTAGAGAGTGATGTACATGGGGGTGGGGTTCTTGGCGCAGAACTCAGCAGGAAGAGCGGCGCGGTAGCGAGTGTCACTAGTGCGGAGGTGCGTAATGAGGTCAGCGACTGTGGGAAAGGCAGCAAGGTCAGGAAAGAGGTACGGTAGTATGAGGCGGCTTAGTGCAGCAGTGGCAGGGGAAGAGTAGCGCGCAACTACAGCGTCGTACAAGGTCTGAGCACTCTTGTACTGACTAAAGTGCGCGCGCTCAGTGGTAGGCAGGTGGCGACGCACAGCAAGACGTGCAGCAGCATCGCACGTGGCCCACTGGGAGCGAACAGTGGGGTCAGCATCAGCAGTAGAGGCAGGAGAGGAGCCAGAGGTGAGGTCAAAGAAGGAGAGACCGTCTGCCCTATCGCACTGTAGGAAAAGCTGCAGGTCATCTACCCAAACCTCAAAGTCAATGGCTCGACCCTCAGCGTCAAAAGCGAGAACACTGGGGATAGTCATGACAGCAGTAGACTAGCAGTACCAATTGTAGGACAAGGGCAGTGCAGTGACAGAAGCGCTGCTCTCACCAGACACGGCGGGTCGGGCAGCTCAGCAGTACAGCAGCACGGCAACACGGCTGCTCGGACGGCACTGCAGCAACTACGGCTCCGTGGCACCAGCGGCTCGGCTCCTCAGGTGGCTCGGGTGGCTCAGGCGGCTCGGGTGGCTCGGGCGGCTCGGGCAGCTGGGGTGGCTCGGGCTGGTCGGGCGGCTTGGGCGGCTCGGGATAGTCAGGCGGCTCGGGCGGCTCGGGCGGCTCGGGGAGGTCGGGCGGCTCGGGCGGTTCGGGCGGCTCGGGTGACGCGGGCGGTGTAGGGCGGTAGGGCCGCTGGTGAAAGGGGCGGCGGGGCTGCTGAGAAGGGCGGCGTGGCCCCTGAGAAGGGCGGCGGGGCCGCAGTAGAAGGGCGGCGGAGCCGCTGAGTAGGGCGGCGAGGCCGCTTAGAAGGGCGGCGCGGCCGCAGTAGAAGGGCGGCGGGGCCGCTGAGTAGGGCGGCGGGGCCGCAGCGAGAGAGGCGGCGGGGCCGCACTGAAGGGCGGCGGGGCCGTTGAGTAGGGCGGCGGGGGCGCAGCGAGAGAGGCGGCGGGGCCGCAGTGAAGGGCGGCGGGGCCGCTGAGTAGGGCGGCGGGGCCGCAGCGAGAGAGGCGGCGGGGCCGCAGTGAAGGGCAGCGGGGCCGTTGAGACGGGCGGCGGGGCCGCTGAGACGGGCGACGGGGCCGCTGAGACGGGCGGCGGGGCCGCAGCGAAGGGCGGCGGGGCCGCAACGTGAGGCAGCGGGGCCGCAGCGAAGGGCGGCGAGGCCGCGAAGAAGGGCGTGTTAGAATCCCAACTACTAGACCATTGGGATGAAAGGGCTTGTTTCAGTAGCGGCTCAGTGCGCCCATAACCCCCCAGGCAAACGCGCCTGTAACCCCCCCTAGGATCGATCGGAGATCTCATAGTGTAGCTCTACTGACACCCCCCCACAGTGGGAGGCCCAGGATTGAGCACAGTGGCAACAGCCAACATGTGCATACACCGGAATTCGAACCCGAGACCGCTCTGATACCATGTCAGAATCCCAACCACTAGACCATTGGGATAAAATGGCTTGTTTCAGTAGCGGGTCAGTGCGCCCATAACCCCCCAAGCAAACGCGCCTGTAACCCCCCCTAGGATCGATCGGGGATCTCACAGTGTAGCTCTACTGACAGGGCGGCGGGGCCGCTGAGACGGGCGGCGGGGCCGCAGCGAACGGCGGCGGGGCCGCAACGAGGGGCAGCGCGGCCGCTGCGAAGGGCGGCAGGGCCGCCAAGAAGGGCGGCGGAGCCGCAATGTGTGGCGGCGGGGCCGCAGCGAAGGGCGGTGGGGCCGCTGAGAAGGGCGTCGGGGCCGCTGAGAAGGGCGGCTCGAAGAGGTGAGAGCCCGGAGTGACAAAATTAGAAGAAAGAAAGAGGAATGAACTAGCAGAAATGGGGATACAAATAGCAAACCCTAGAAGGGTTGTACTCGCTATAGAGCACCCCACTACAGGCTAGAACATAAGAATAATATTCTGACACGGAGCGCGACTCGGGCTGAGCGCGCTTCGGGCAGGAAAAAAAAAGATCGATGTGGTGGGCCCTAGGCATAGTTCCCACGGGGGAACCTGCTCGATACCATGAGGAAAGTAGAACGATAATGAATGACTTAGGAATGGAAGTGATACAAATATGCAACCCTAGAAATGTGTACCCCATATAGGCTACCCCACTATAGCCTACACAATATTATAATTTGACAGGGAGTGACGGGAGGGCGATATAAACTGGAGGGACAAGACAAATGGGAGAGAGGGGATGGACGGGCGGGAATATGTTAGAGGACGTCCCCTTTATAATATTTTCTCATTATTATATTTTCCCTTTATATGATTCTCCTTTTTCTCCTCTTTATTTTGGTCTTTATTTCATCTCAATCGGCCTACTATTCTATTTTCTAGAGCCTTCTCTTTATTTCACTTGTTTCCCACCGACATATTTATTCTATGGCACCAACAGCGCCGACAGTGGTGTATAAGGCGTAATCTTGGTGTAATCCCAAGTGCCAATAGCCTTGCGTCCTTGTGCGCACTTGTGATTGTAGTATCGGGAAGGGCGTGTTCCCGAATGTTCTTTTTATCTCGTTTATCCTTGTAATTCCGAGTAGAAATACGCCTTGTATTCAATTTTAGTGACACGTTCGAGTGAGAATTCGATCCTGTGACAGAATAAGTGCACTGCCAATCTGTTGGGCTGAGAAAAGGCCCTTAGGATCTTTGCAAGGCTAAATTCCGAGTAGAGATGTTGTAATTGCGGAAGCGTTTTTTATGAAGAGTATTGAACCACCTTGCGCTGGTATATGAGGGCAAGATAGATTGATTAAAGTAAGAAGATCCAAGGTTTTTATCAAACATATCAAGGAGAATGTCTCTCTCTATGACCACGCCACTCGCGCCTCAGTTGCTCCTGCTGCCACTGCTGAGCTTAGTGTCCGTTCCCAGTTTCAGACTTGTGACTGAGCTGCCCGCCTAGCTGTTCGCAACCACCAGCCGTTAGCCGAGCTCACGCACTTTGGCGAGCACAAAACTGCTAAGGCCCTGTACGACGCTGTAGTTGCTCGATACACCTCTCCTGCCACAGCTGAGCTTAGCCGCCTCATGCTGCGCTACCTGTTTCCTGAGCTGTCCTCCTTTGCAACGGTCGCCGATCTCATCACCCACCTTTGCACTAGTGACACTCGCCTTTGCGCCGCCCTCCCCACAGAGTTTTATGCTATGAACCCGCCTCCGATGTACTGGACCCTCCACTTATAGTTACCCGCCTCCCTGACTCTCTGAGCTCGGTCAGGGACTATTTTCTCCCTCACAGTCCCACCGACCTCACTGTAGACCTCCTAGAGGAGCGCCTCCTTGCAGCAGAGAAGAGCATTGTTGCTGTAGATGCTGTTCGCGGCGCTCCTCGCACCCCCATCTTCGAGGGGTGCTCTCCCTCTCCCCTCGCCCCCTCCTTCGCTACTGCTGCTGCTGTTGACTTCCTTGGTGCTGAGTCTGCTGGTGCTGCTTCTGCTCCTAGTGGGAGGCGCCGCAACGGCAAGGGCAAAGGAGCCAAGGGTAGCGGAGGTGGCCCCGGGGGCGGTGGTGGTGGAGGAGGTGGAGGAGGAGGAGGTGGCGGAGGGCCTGGTGGCAGGAGTGCTGGCGGGAGTGGTAGCGGCGGTGGAGGTAGTGGCGGCGGGGGGGGGGTGGCGGCGGCGGTGGCGGCAGCGGTGACGGCAGGGGCGGTGGTGACGGCAGCGGTGGCGGTCGGGGTGGAGGCACTGGCGCTGCCCACAGCCAGCAGCAGCAGAAACGTCCCCAAACATCCCAGCAGCTTCGTGAGTGGCTTGTTCAGCGTGGGAAGTCTGGGGGTGGTGGTCGCTGCCCATATGTCATTTGCACAGGTGACTGCAAGGGTCAGACGTGCAACAAGCTTCACACCCAGTACCGCTGCTTCTCCCGCCTTACCGACGCCTGGTGTGAGGTGATGGGCGAGGAGTATGAGCGCCCTCACTGGCATGAGCTGCTTAAGGCTGGTGTAGACATTTTTGCTATTAACTTTGATGCTATTTTTTATGTGATGTATGCATTGGAAGTTAGTGCTGACGGTGACTGTTATCTGTGTATGCCGCCTGACCCAGGTATAGAGGCTGCTGCCTTAGGTGCAAGTGAGTCTGCTCTCTCAGGTACTACACCTGCTGAGGCCCTGCACACCTTCAGACCTAACTCAGGTATAGAGGCAGCTTCCATAGGTGCAGGCGAGTTTGCTCTCTCCGGTATTGCGCCTCCTAAGGCACTGCACACTTTCACGCTTGACTCAGGTGCTTCTCGTTGTTTCTTCCATGACAATACCGCACTCACACCGCTCCCTAGGCCTATTGCAGTCTCTCTGGCTGACCCCCCAAGGGGGCCAGTTCTTGCAGGGTCCACCACTGTGTTTCCGTGCCCGGCAGTCCCGTCTGGCTCACTGTCAGGTCTCCACCTCCCCACGTTCTCGACGAACTAAAGCTGCCCCTCAGGATGTGGGGGTTAATACCTTCACCCAGCTTGGCAGCGTGTGGCAATCTGCACGTGTGCACAGACTGGCCGTCATCTGGCCACGTTCACTCGTCGGCCAGGGTTGAGTCTTTACACACTGACGACTCTGTCTCCTCAGGTCGCTGCTGTCGGTCAGGTGTATGCGTCTGGTCTGGTAGCCTCCCCTTATGAGTGTCACTCCCTGTCGCACCAGACTCTTCTCTGGCACCACCGTCTGGGTCACCCCTCCTTGCCACGACTACGTGGCATGCACCATCGCCTCCTTGTGTCTGGTCTTCCTAGGTCTCTCCCTCCCCTCCCTGCCTCGCATGCGCTGCCCTCCCTTCCTTGCGTCGAGGGGCGGCAGCGCGCCGCTCCTCACTCCTCCTCGTCTCCCCCGACAGAGGCTCCCCTGTAGACCCTCCACCTGGACGTGTGGGGCCCAGCCCGCATTCGTGGACAGGGCGGTGAGCGGTACTTTTGCTGGTTGTCGACGACTCCTTGCGTTACACCACGGTCTTCCGCTTGCGCACCAAGGGTGAGGTCCCTGCTGTCCTGATCCCTTGGATCCGAGCAGTTCGTCCCCAGCTCCGCCGGAGGTTCCGGACGTACCTTCCTGTCCTGCGTCTGCACTCTGACAAAGGTGGTGAGTTCACCTCCAACATCTTGCGGGCCTTCTGTCATAGGGAGGGCATCGAGCAGTCGTTCACGCTTCCGGGCTCATCGCAGCAAAATGGGGTTGCTGAGCGCCGCATTGGCTTGGTCATGGAGATCGCTCGTACCTCCTTGATTCATGCGGCGGCTCCCCATTTTCTGTGGCCGTTTGCGGTGCGGTACGCCGTGCATCAGCTCAGCCTCTGGCCCAGTGTCTCCTTGCCATACACCTCGCCCACACTGCGTTGGACGGGAGAG